GAAAAAACCTAACGGACGAACCTGACGGACGAACCCGACGGACGAACCCGACGGACAAACCTGACAGACGAACCTGACGGACGAACCTGACGGACAAACCTGACAGACGAACCTGGCGGATGAACCTGACAGACGAGCCTGACGGACGAACCTGACGGACGAACCCGACGGACGAACCTGACGGACAAAGCTGAACGGACGAAAAACGGACGATAAACGGACGAAAACCGGACGAAAAGCTGACCAAAAACTGACAAAAAGCTGACGAAAAATAATCATTTTTCCAAAATTATGCTTCGGACCTAGTTTTTTTTTGCAACACAGGCCGTTCAGAGCTCAGAAAATTTCCGGGATATACCCTATATATAATGTGGGCGGGGCTTAGGTCGACGACCTTATCTCATCCTTTTTCGAGCGGTTTTCACCGATTTTTTCCGATTTTCGGAAGATTCAGGCAACAGTTTTTTTCTCTCACGTTGTTAGAAAAAATAACTTTAGAATAGGATAGTAGCTCGGTTCCTTCTTAAGCGATAGTCCTTAAGTGCAAACCCCAACAGGTTCAAGAAATATAGCAGGCTTGCATATTTAATTTATTAAGGAAATACTTAAGGATCTGTTCGAAAAAAAATTATTTAAAAACTCAATAAAACAAAAATATTGATTGAAATGACTCATTGATAATCATTGATAATCCATAGAAGGGGAAAAAATAGAACGAATGGAAAAAGACAAACAAAAATTGGAAATCCTAATTTTGATTGGGTTCTTGATTATTTGCAGTTTCCTGGTTTACATTCAAATTCAGAACTTCTTGGAAGACGATTGGCAGGACTAAATCTCCCTGTTTTGCTGCGGTGCGTAAGAATTCGAGGAACGACTTCTCGAGCATTTTATCTGAAAAATTGAAATTTAAAAAATGCTCTAAATGGGCTGAAAAATGGACAGTGAGAGGGTCCTTCTATTACAGGTTTCCGAAATCAATAATTGAATAAAACTCACTGATATTATTGACACCAACAAGCACATTGTTCAACTGTTTCAAAGTAATTTCCTTATTTTTTCGAAACTGCATATTTTTTTGCATTGAAATTCGAAGATATTCTTGAGTCTCCACCATTCCAGTTACAGTTTCAAGCGACAGTTCATTTTGATAATCCAATGGAAGCTGTTCGACCAAAACAAGTGCAGCCAATAGTCCATAGGCACTATCGTCAGCTTCACTACGACTACAGTAGTCTCCCAAAGCGGTCATCTCCGTGGCAACGTCTCAAAAAAGAAGTCGAAGAATTTCAACGTTGATAAAACGACCATCTTGCAGAATCATTCCATCAATAGACAATGAACGAATGATGCGAATCAGATAGATTCCAAAAATGTTATTTTTAAGAATTGCAGTTTTTTCAACACTTGAAATGAATTCCATTTCTGGAAGATCTCGAACAAAACAGATTGCATTTTGAATTTCCTTATCCATGAATGGCAAATAGAATTTCCAAGCGCTGAGTCTATTCAACCTGTCGTCTGTTCCGAATGCCAATCCGATTTCCTTTTTTGCCAATTTCTTCACTGTTTCAGTCTTATAATTGCAGGTGTTCATGTGGAGAACAACGATTTTATTGGCTTTTTCAAGAAATTCAAGATCCGCCGCGGGTAGGAGTTTTTTTGAAGCAACATATCTTTGTCTTCGTGCCTCATGAAGAGCTAAAAGTTTTTTTTTGAGTCGATTTTTTTTTGGTTTCTGTCAAAGATATAAAGAAGTTGTCTATTGATAAATTGTTCATCATGGCATCCCAAACATTTTCTCAATTATTGTCGGAATAAAAAAAGTGAGACTCGGTGTTTGCGTACTTTGATTCCCGCCTCCCCCCACCGACGCTCCGCCCATCGCTTTGCAAGTGCGGCGTGGTGTTT